TTGCTCACAAATTGTTCTTATCGATCCAGCTCAGCTCAAGATTAATGTGGGTTTGGTTTTCTTATAAGTGTGCAGCCATTACCCAGCTGCTATTGGAGACTTTCAGGCAGAATACGACTGTAGAGAATTGTTTGCAGTGCCTTTAAATAACTCTTCTGGGAAGTTTTCATCTTAAATTTGCCTCAAGATGGTGGCTACCCTTAAGAACAAATTCCCATACTTCAAATTTCACCTTCTGAGTTAGGAGAACTTAAGGAAGAAGTGGTGAAAATGGCAAAATATCTGTTTTAGGGGTCGACAAGTGTAATTTGAGAGAAGGGAAGCTAGAGAGGAACCCCACATTTTGCCTGGGTGTGTTTTCTCTGAGGTCTGACAACAGCTGAGCCCATCCCTCAGTGGGAGCACAACACTGTCTTTTGGAATATCACATGTTCTAGACTATTAGACACACTTTTTTTGGCTGGTAAATCCAAGCTAACACACAGATGTGTGCAATGTCCTCACAAACACACCATTTTCGTAGAATGTTTGGCTAAAAAACTCCCTGCACTCCCCCTGCAAGAAGGATTGCCCAAGACCTCCTTGCTGGGTACCATAACCGACGTCAGTTCCTGCTGTTCCTGCTGTTCCAGCAAACAGCTCTTGGCCCCAGGATCAGGTTTGAAACGGGAGCTGTTGCTTGATGGAACAGGGTGAATCGGTTGGTGTGAGCAGCACTGAGCTGTGTTTGTGTACTGATTTCACTCAGAAAATCCATAACATCTTGGCAAGCAGCAGCGGCAGCGCGAGGCAGGGCGGGGAAACCGTGGAAGAACACAGCGTGTAACGAGGTCTTCCCCTGGTTTTTGATACTCCTAGGTTTGAAGCAATCCCCCACGTGTTCAAATATTAACTGAGCGCTGCGTTGCCTGTGGTTCAGGAAACGCTCTCCTCGCTGACGTTGAGAGCTGCCCGGGGTTGCACAACCACGGAGCAGCAGCCAGGAATAGCACCCCAACACCTGACCCCTCCAGAGCAGGGGGATCCTTCTGCCAGCTGAGCTGCTCCGGGTGTTGGACAGAACTAAATTGTTCAGGCTGGACGGGGACAAAGCTGGAGGGACAAGAACTGCTTGTGGTAGAAGTGCTGTGATGTCTTGGGTGACTCCAGGCGCTTAGATTGAATGATTCCTCAAGGAAGCAAGGGCAGCATGTTGAAGAAAGATCATACCCTCTTCCATAAGTCATAGAATCACGGAATGTTTGGGGTTGGAAGTGACCTTAAAGGTTTGGCTTGGAAGGGACCTTAAAGCCCATCCAGTGCTACCCCCAGCCATGGGCAGGGACACCTTCCACTGTCCCAGGTGGGTCCACACCCTGTCCAGGGGCTCTTCCAGGCATGAGGCACTCACAGCTTCTCTGGGAACCTGTTCCAGGGTCTCACCACCCTCCTGGGGAAGAACTCCTTCCCAATATCCCATCTCCCCCTGTCCTCTGGCAGTGGGGAGCCAGTTACAGAGAGGGCACGAGCTCTGCTCTAAAGCAGGAGGATGTGACCACTTCCTGAGCCATCAGCAGCTTTTCTGCAGTGCTCTGGATTTTCCCTGAACAGCCCAGCCTGTCCAGTGCTGTTTATCCTGAAAATCTGGTGAAAGCAATGTCCACAAAGCAAGGAAGTGGGAAATCATAGACCCAGGACAAGAAGAGCTGTTTTCCAGCTTAAAATACATCATAAAAATCAAAGCAAAATTCTGCAACCTTTCTATTGGGATATTCTCTCTTTGATGTGTCCTCCCTCCAAGGATGGGAGCAATTTTTTCGGAGGCAGGAGCAGTCTTTGTTTTTTTATTACAAAGCAGAAATCTCAGTGTAGGCTCCTGCCAAAAAAACATGCTGCAAATACTCTCTGTGGCAAACAGGGCTTGCAGACAGGCTTTGTTCATCTGTCTCGGCCTGCCTTGCCATACTTTTCTGTCCCTCTTGCCAAATGGAAAATAAATCATTCTCCCCTCGTTGTTCTGGTTATAATTGGCTGGATATGCCATCAGCTGGCTCATCCCCTCTCCGAGCCTGGGAAGGCATAAACACTTCCAGGATTACAGAAAATGAGGACACTGACTTTGGGACCCATCCAAAGCCCTTTAGTGAGCGTGAAGACTAATTGACTACAGCGAGAGCTCCTTAATTGCTGAGGGGAAATGAAACAATAGCATTTCCCCTTTTGCTACATCCTTTTCCAAGAGCCCTGTGGTAAGGGCTGTGAGCTCAGGCAGCAGCACTGGAGAGCTCCAGGCCATTACTCTGCAATGTTTTCCAAGGAAGGTGCTCAGACAGTGCCACAGAGGATGGCAGATGATGATAACACACTTTTCCTGTTTCCCTTCTGTCACAAACAAAGCTGCTTGATTCAGATGATGGATTTGGTGAGATAGGGGAGGAAGCAGCAATTTTAGGCTTTGATGACTGAAGGTGAAGGTGATATTCAGTTATAACCTCCCTGTTTCACACCAGGTCTCCACCTTCTGGGCCTCAGGGACCTTGGATGTGCCCAGGCTCCAAAGCTATTGTGTGTTTCTCCACAAGAACAGCACTGGAAATTGGAGACAGCAATTGTTTCTCCCCTCTTCTCTGATGAAGGGCTGGGGTTCCCTCACTCTGTCCAGTTAGAAGGGCCAACATGGTCACTTGGAGCACTGTGAGCTCTGCCTCGGGCTTTGCTGGGCTCTGGCTGGCATCATTGTGCCATGGAGGTGGGCACTGCCTTTCCCCTGTGCCCTTCCTCATCTGCAGGAAATCAGCACGGGACAATGGAGCTGTGTGGGAGTTGGCATGGATTTGTGATGGGCTGTCCATCCCAGCCCTTTCCAGTCCTGCCTTCTGCTGGCTTGGACTGGAAAGGGGGTCAGTGGGCCAAGGGAAATCTGATGGATGGGAAATGTGGCTCTGCACCCCCAGAGCCAAGACTGTGGTGTCAGGTTGGAGGGGTCAGGTGGGTGAGGGAAAGGAGAGAAGCTTGTAGGGTGATTAGGCAGCAGGAGCATTCAGTGGGAAAGGAAAAAGAACAAAGTTCAGATAAAAATATAAAAGCAAAAGAGGGGAAAGCATGTGTGTGCTGCAGACTGCCGTGGTTCTGCTCCAGGCAATGTCACCCAGGACATCTTTTGTTTCATTCACACGAAAATCCTTGCCATCAGTACTTTCCCCTGTCCCCTCCACAAATCCATCTCTTCCTAAACAAACAGACATGACAAGGCCTCCAAAAGCTGTGTCAGAACCTTTAAACACCAGCTGAGCATAATGTAAAAGCCATGTGATTCCCTACAGGTGGAAAACAGCTCCGGCCGTATTTCCAAAGGTTTCACGTTTGGTGTACATGACTCACTGCTCATGTGCCTTGCTTTAGATGCTCGGAGCAGCTTTTTGTAATGTAATCAGAACTGTGGGCACTCCGTTTGTCCATCACTGAGGGCCCAAAGGATTAGCACAGCACTAAAAATGACACCTCATCCTGCCCGTGGGCAGTCGGGGGGTGGAATGCAGGGGTTCAGCCTGGGAGAAGCTGAGCATTTACTCATCCCAGGGCTGGAGCAGTGTTGTTTGTACCATGAGCCAGGCAGCCTGGACTCATCGTGTCATCATCCCATATCCACATCCTTGGGAATCAGGGTGTCCTGACCCTGACAACAACAGCTGCCCATCAGACCCTTGGCAAAACCTGTGGGCAGCTCAAGCATCTCATCTGGTCAGAGGACTGTGAGCAGTAGGACAAGGAGGTGATGCTCCCTTCTCTGCTCACATGAAATCCCACTGGAGCTCTGTGTCCAGCCCTGGAGCCCTCAATGTAAGGAGGACGTGGAGCTGCTGGAGAGAGTCCAGAGGAGCCAGGGAAATGCTCCAAAAGCTGGGAAAACTCTGCTCTGGAGCCAGGCTGGGAGAGCTGGGGGTGCTCATATGGGGAGGAGAAGGCTCCAGGGAGAGCTCAGAGCCCCTGCAGGGCCTGAAGGGGCTCCAGGAGAGCTGGAGAGGGACTGGGGACAGGGATGGAGGGACAGGACACAGGGAATGGCTCCCACTGCCAGAGGGCAGAGATGGATGGGATACTGGGGGGGAATTGTTCCCTGGGAGGGTGGGCAGGCCCTGGCACAGCTGTGGCTGCCCCTGGATCCCTGGCAGTGCCCAAGGCCAGGCTGGACAGGGCTGGGAGCAGCCTGGGACAGTGGAAGGTGTCCCTGCCATGGCAGGGGGTGAATGGGATGATTTTAAGGTTCCTTCCAACCCAAACCATTGTGGGATTCTACGGTGCCAGAGGTGTGTTCGTCCTCCACCCTCTGCCAGCTCCTTGCTCTGCAGAGCAGCCTCCCTGCAGCGATTCTCGTGGGCGATGCTCTCAGACTTTCTGCATCAATTCAATCTCTGTTTTTTCCGTCTCCTGCCAGTTTGGGGATTTGTTGCTCGATTGTCATGGCGACTGCATCCGTGGGACCCTCGCTGAGGGTGAGGCCCCTCCATTAGGATTCAGGGCAGCACTTCAGCCAGCATCACTGGGGACCCTCTTGTGCCGAGCAATCTCTGAGAGCAGGGAGCTCGTTCCACTGCAGAAATCCCAGCTGAACAGCGTCTGTTCACAGCAAACCAGGCTGGCTCTAATTTTTGTTAATTATGTGGAAGCAACTTGATTTCCTCGTGAGCCTGTTGTCAGCACAGCCCGCACAGTCTATTCCTGGCCAGCAGGATGAGGATGCTTAAGAACCCCAAAGGACTCTGCAGCTGTTTTGCGGAACAACATGGAAATGAAAAGGAGCCATTTCCAGAATAAATCAAAAAAATACAAAAAAAAAAGACATAACCCTAGATATTTCTTGTAGAACAGTGCAGGAAAGAGGAGCCATTTGCAAAAAATCTGAGGTCTGGCAGAAAAGCAGGGAAAAGAAGGAGTGGGGGGAAAAAGAACGAAACAATCAAAAGAGGTGCAGAGAAGGAGATTTTTGTACGGAAAGAGGTTTCTCAGGCAGCATCCCGGGAATGGCGGTGAAGACGCGAGCGCCGGGAAGGGCCGGGAGGCGGAGGGCAGGAACAAGAGCCTTGCGCGCGGGGCCATTTCTCGAGGAGCCTCGTTAGCGCAGTAGGTAGCGCGTCAGTCTCATAATCTGAAGGTCGTGAGTTCGATCCTCACACGGGGCAAAAGATGGTTTCCTCCTTTTTTTTTTCCTCTCCCCTCTCGCCGCGGCGCCGCCGACAGCGAGCCCGACACCGATACGGACCCCGAAGAAGCGGGAGGTGGCGGCGTCACGGAGGACGACGAAGCCGCGGAACGCATTGAGGGCGGGCGGCCCCTGCCGCCTTCAGTCGAGGCCGGCCCGGCCGGGCGGGCCCCGCTGTCCCTGTTGGAGCTGCCCCCGGAGCTCTTGGTGCAAATCTTCGGCTCCCTGCCCGGTACCGACCTGCCCAGCCTGGCCCGAGTGTGCACCACCTTCCGCCGCATCCTCAGCACCGACACGATCTGGCGGCGGCGCTGCCGCGAAGGTACCGAGGGCCCGCACGGCCCGGGGCTGCGGGGGAGCGCGGGCGGCGCCGCGGGCTGCGGGAGCACACCGGGCTGCCGGAGGGGATGAGGATCTGGGAGTCTTGAGGGGCTGTGGGGGCTCCTGAGGGGCTGTGGGGGCTCCTGAGGGGCTGTGGGGGCTCCTGAAGGTCTGGGGCTCCTGAGGGGTTGGGGGCCGTGAGGGGCTGGGGGGGCTCCTGAGGGGCTGGAGGTCCTGAGGGGCTGGGGCCTGGGCTGCAGGGCAGAAAGCAGATTTGGGGTGCGCGCTGTGGCTCGCAGGGCTCCACGTTTGCAGGGGGGAGACCTGGGCACATCCCCTGGGACACGGTCCCTTGGTGGTGGCGCTTGGCTTGCGGCAAAGGGCATCGAGCTGGGGGTGTCCCCCAGCAAAGGGCATCGAGCTGGGGAGGAATGGGCTGGGAGAGGCCCTGGGAGGTGATGCCTCCATGTAGCATGTCCTTGGGAAATCCCGAGGACTGGGAATGCTCAGCTCCTGAAAGGAGGGACCTCGGGGTTCCTGGAGCTACAGGAGCCGGGTCCGGAGGAGGCCGGGCCTGGGTAAGGGCATCCTTGGGAAGCACAGAGGCAGCGTGGAGAGGTTCCAGGTTCGGCTGTGCGTTTTCCAGGAATGCTCTGGTGCCAGGATGCTGTGCTGCAGTCATGCGAAGGCCCGGGAGGTGTTTTTTCCTCTGTGAGGCTGCGCTTCTCCCTCCTTGCTCCTCATCCTCTTCCTCCCACCGCTGTGGCTCTGTGTTTGTCATTTCAGTCCTGTCCCACCTCCCAGGGTCTGCCTTGCTGTGCTCATCCTCTCCAGGCGCTGCCATCCTGCCAGGGGCTCCTGCTGCCACCGCATGAAGTCATGTGTATTTTCCTGTTTGCTTTCTGGTTTTAATAGCAGTGAGGGCACGGGGATGAGAGATTTGGGAATGTCAGTGGCTGCCTGCAGTGGGATCTGGTGGAATGCCTGAAACCTTGCAGGAATGAATTTGTGCCTTATCAGCACTATCCAAGAACCTTTGGACAGCACAAAGGCTGCACCTGGAAAATGTAAACCAAAGCATTATTTCATAATTCAGCATTGTCCCAATAATTTAACACTTGATTTAACACTTCTTAGGAGACAGGCTAATGAAATGGTGTTAATTCTTTCCTTATACTTCTCTAGTGACGTGGAGATTTGTGTGTTTGATGAATGGTTTGCAAAACTTCACTGATTAATTATTTTAATAGGTTATGATCCTGGCAAAATGTGTATATAGAAATGTATGTCACTTTTAACTCTAGGCTAGGCTGGCTTGTAAAAAAGACCTACTGAATTAGGTCTGATGGGGATTTACATTTATTTATCAAATTCATGTCTGCTCCTTGGATTGTCTTTCCAATGGATGAAACTCAGCTGAAATTTAAGGAAATGAAGGAAACAGTGGGATTTGTATGGCTGAAACTACCCTGGACAGGAAGGGAAGGTATCAAGACAACACTTTTGTCTATGGCCCTTGGCTAACTGCCAGGTGAGAGGTGTATAAACCAAATTTTGATTCTCTTTGCGTGTAATTTCTCCAGTTTCCCAACATATCCATTCCAAGCAATGTCAGAGTGCCTTGGTGGCTGCTGCTGTGGCTGAGGAGGATCCTGTTCCACAGGCAGCTGCCCAAGCTGTGCTGAGCAGATAAGGGACCTGGCCAGAGTCTTCCTACCATGGTGAAACTGCTTCTGAGCCTTTTCACCAGCTCTGGTTTTCCAGGCAGCTCCTCAGCTGGACTTCTCAGGCTGTTTGTGGTGCTTTGCATTCCCTGCTGAGGTGGGACTGTAACTTTGGATGGTTGTACACGCCAGTATGGAATTGGGCATTATTTTATAGGTAAACATCAGGTGTTGGTAAATAAATATGCATTTAAAACTTAAAATATTCTGTGCTGTGTTTCTGCACAGCCATACACTGGTGACTGTGTGATAATCAAACATGAAATGTAAACATAAAATGTCATTGTTTTTTGTAATCTTTTCCAAAACCAATTCCTGTCTGAGCTCAGTGTTTAAATGTGTGTGTTTGTGTCTGCGTGAGCCTTGTTGTGAGCCTGCTTGTCCTAAAAACAGAACAAGAGCACGTGTGCCTTGCTGGTTGATTCACTCTGAAGCCTGCAGATGATCATGGAATCACAGAGTATCCCGAGCTGGAAGGGATCCACAAGGATCATCCGAACCCAGCACGGTGTTCCAGGAGTAACTGGGAAACTTCATCTTGCTGTCAGCTGCATGTGCAGAACCACTTCTGTTTTTAGGAGTGCACAGCAGTGCAGAGGCAGGAAAGAACCCTGAAATAACCAGAAGAGAGAGGAGCTTTTCTGGGAGGAGCTGTTGTTGCAGTGCTTTGTTTTGGCCATTCTTTCCCTTCTCCTTGGACAGGAGCAGCCTGGCTGTGCCCCAAGCTGGATGGAGCCCTCAGTCCTTGCAGTGTTGATGTCTTGCTCTGCCCTGGGCCAGCCCAGCTGTAGATTAGTCTGAAAACATGCTGTGCTTATTCCAAGTGTCCAGAGGACTTGTCTGCCTGAAAGTGGAGTGGCTTTTGCTGCTGGTGGAGCCCTGGGATGAAGCAGGGGAAATTGTGTGACACTGGCAGAGCTGTTGTCCTTTTATCATTGCAACTGTTTGGGGTAAACAATGTCTGTGGATTGCTTCCTTGGCAAGGGGAGGGTTGCAGTCACTTCCATGTTCTCTATAAATAGGAGATTGCTGATCCCTGCAGCAGGAGCAGAATTAAAGCTCGTGTCACCCTGGCTGGTGGCCTGCTCTACCTTGATTAACACCTTATAGCCCATTTTTAATCTTTAATTTCTTTCATCTTTGACCAGAGCAGGACAAGTGCAGCAGAACACCTGGGAACAGACCAGCAATGCAGAATAACCAGTTCTAGAGCTTGGAAGAAAAGGCTTTTGTTTGTGAAAACAACCTCCAGCAGCTTTTGGGCCTGCTGGAAAATGTCAGCCAAGGTGCTGAAGTTTGTGACCTTCAGGTTGTGTGGAAAGAGGAGGGAAAGAAGGGTGGGAAATGTGGTTTGTACACTCAGTGAGGAGACTTTTGGGTGGGGTTCAGCTCTAAAAGCCTCCAAGAAATCCATGCAGGAGTTTGATGTACAAATGCTGCCACTACAGGAACCATTTCTTGCAGAGCTGTGCCCTAGTGAAGGTGGCTTTCATCAGCCTCAAGGCTCCAACCTCCCTTTGTGTGATGTGAAATCATTGTGTGGTGTGTTAGTTTGTGGCTTTTCTTCATCTCTGATGACCTTTCCAGGCTTTTAAACTCCAGCTTGGCAGTGCTTGGCCGTTCCCACTGCTCAGGCAGTGCTCAGCCCTCTCAGCCACGCCTCAGAGAGTCTCAGACCTGTCTGCAGGCTGCACATCTGAAGCTGCCCATCCTCTGCTTTAGGATTTCCACAGATATGTGCATTTATTGCAGATCAAATCTCCTGTTCCTCTAGGGTAGCCCCAGGCCTTCCCTGGCAGAAATGTTTGGGAGAGGACTGGATGTGTTTTAATATGATTGCTCAACCTTTGGAAGCAAGAATTCCAAATTTGTCCACCTGGTACTTAGAACTGCTAACCTGAGAATCTCCCATTTTTGTGGTATCTGGAATAATGCAGTAAGTTTTTATCCTCTCTGTTCTGTGTCCAGCCTTGTGAACATGCATTTATCCAGGGATAATTGGAAGATTTGATTAGCCAGGACACAGTGGAAGTTCAGTAATGGTGAAGGGGATCCAGCTCTGCCAGACATCCTCATTTCCTCAGAGCTGTGGATGTGCACACACAGCTTCCAGCAGCTCCCTGGCGTTGCCATGCTGGGAAAGGCAGCAGAAAAGCAGCAATTTGGGCTTTGATGTGAGCACAGGGGTTATTCCCAGCCCAGGATGGGAGAGCCTTGCTTGTTTTTAAATTCCAAACTAGTCCTTGCAGGGTGAAGGTGACACAGCTTCTTTTGGGGAGGAGCAGGGAATGGGAGGCCTGGAAGTGCTGGGAGCAGGGCAGGGGAGAAATGCCACTTGCAGAAGTGTTAGTGCAGCTCATAGCCAATGGAAACTGCTTTTCCAAGCCCGTAAAATCCTGTGCTTGTGACCATGGAAACAGCAGCATGTGCCTGTGTTTGGGAAATCAGCACTCCTTATAAACCAGCAGCCTTTCCAGCTGGTCAGTGGGAACCTGAAAAACCAATTTCCATCCTTGCTTTGCAAGCAGGATTAAGTAGCCATTTTCCAAGGGTGTGAATTTCTGTGACTATTAACTCCTTAAAATAAAAATACTTTACTCAGTGAGCTGTTGCACTGAGATACATTTCCTTAAAATAGATTTAATTGCACTGAAGTGGAATTTTCCAGGAAGCTCGAGCCCTTCAGCTCTTTCTTGGAAAGGGATTTCTGTTCTCTGTAAAGAAAACCTTCCCAGATTTATTTTTCTGTCATTATCTTGAGGCTCTACTTGCTGTTAGTTTATGTCCCTCTTGCCTTCTGGGTTAAAAGGAGCTGGCCTTTCATGCTTATGATATTTGGAGGGGGTTTTTTTTAGGCACTGTGAGCCAAAAGATTGATTTTTCCCATAAAATGACCATGCTGGTGTGAGCAGCTGGGTCAGAAGAGCTGCAGTAATGCACTTATGGAGCTCAGCCATCACTGTGGCATTTTCACTCTGTAGCTGTTTGCTGACCAAAATAGGATAAGAATTAGTTATAAAATGAGTCTTAAAGCACATTAGGATGGGATTATTTTTTTCTCAGTAATACTCTCTTGGATATCTAGTGACAAGTAATGTGTAGCAATATAGAAATCCTTAATTTTTGTATTATTTAAAGGAGTTTATTTGAATCTTTCCAGGTGAGATTGGAATTACAAGCACTTTATTAACAGTTTGGCTTTCATAAATTTCACTGCAGGTTGTCAGGGGCCCTTGCATGAAGCTGTGACATCAAATCCTTTCCCAGCCTGTTATTTGGAGGTAACTGCTACTGGTGGATCTCCCATGGCACTCACTTGAGGGATTTATGGATTAGGGAGAAGGCTTTGGGAAACTGGGAATGGGGAATGTCACTCTTGGTGCTGCTGGAGATTCCATTTGGGGAGGATCCTCCGTGTGTCTCCTCCCTTTGGCATGCAGGGAAATCCCTTCCCTGCCTGCAGTGCCCAGGGCTCATCTCACCTGTCCTGCTGATGCCTTGGGAAGGCTGGACAGAGCTAAGGAATAAAGCAGGGATTCATTAAAAGGGTATCCTCGGTGGGCAGCACAAGAGCCCAGCCAGGGCTGCACCCAAAGTGAACCAAAATTGTCCTAAAATGAACCCAAGATGAACCAAAATGGTCTCAAAATGCACCCGAGATGAACCAAAATGGTCACAAAAAATGGACAATTGGTCAAAAGATTCCTTGCTTTTATAAGTTCTGCTCCATGTGCAGATTGCAGTTCAGTGTCCAGTTCCAGCTGCAGCCCCTGCAGTCCCACCCTGCTTGTTTTTCTCTCTGCAGCCCACGGGGTTTGTGCTCTTGGGGCTGAGATTTGGATCATTTGTCCTTGGTGCCCAGCTGGAGCAGGAATTGTTTTGTCTCCCTGCTCTGTGCACAGAGCTCACCATCCCCTGATGTGAAGCTCAGACCCACACACTAAAGCAGCACAGAGTCTGAAAAATATAAAAGCCAAAACCTGAGGCATCACTGGGGCCAGGTGAGTTTTGTTCAGGTGCACAAGAGTTGCCTGTTCCTGCCCTTTCTGAGGACATTCCACACTGTTCCTGCACCCCTTGGATGTGTTTCCATCCCTGGGGTGCATTTCCCTGTCCCTCTCTGAGGTGCAGAGGGGTGCTGGGCAGCCTGGAGGGCTCTGGCAGGGTGGCTCTGCATTGCCAGGCTGCCCTGGGGCTGTGCTTCCGTGGCTCTGCAGCACTCAGCTGGCAGAGCCCCAGCACTGAAGGGTTTGTTTGTGCTGTGTGTTCTTCCTGCCAGCTCAGCTCTGCTAATTGTGCTTCCCCAGCCCACCTTGGGGCTCAGAGCCCTCAGAGCCTCCTCTGCCTTTGCCTGCAGAAGTCAGCAGGAATTCTGCCACTGCCCTTGGCATTTTTTGATGAAGGGCAGTGTGTTTGTTGTGCCCTGTGCCCCCCTCACCCTTGCTGCTTAGCCAGAGTGTGCAGGATGTGGATTCCCTGGAGACAGGCTGCCAGTAAACCTCTCTCATTGTGTGCTTGCATTTACAGACAGGAGGAGGCTGAATTAATTCAGGGAAACTCCTGTTTTTCTCATATTTGCAACCTGAGTTCTCTCCTGCAGAGGGTTTCCAGCTTTAGGTGGTGCTTCACAGCCACGGTTGTTGATTCAAGGATGCTCAGCTGAGGATGAAGTTTGTATTTAATGGCTTGATGAAGGTCTGCAGAGATACAGTTTTGTGTCAAATACCTGGCAGGTGTTTGTGCTGCTGGGGAAGGCTGCTGTTTGATCTGTGCTGTTGATGGCTTTGATGTCAAGGAGGGCACTTTGCTGTGCTGAGATCTGTCAGGGTCACTGCAGCAGGGTGGCTTTGTCACTGCTGATTTTTTGGGATCTCCCTCCTCTCATTTCCTCCCTCTGCTCTTTGGAGAATTCCTGGCACTGAGACATTAGTACTTGCTTTTTTTTTTTTTTTTTTTTTTTTTTTTTGAGTTTCTTAGAAGTTCGATGTTGACTTCCTGAAAATGAAAGGAGAGAATCTCATTTTCTGCTTCAAAGCTGCTCCCAGATCTCCGACTCCCTTTGTTTTCGGGGGGTTCTGGAAGCAATCAAAGCATCTGACTGCACAGCAGCCCTGTCTCAATCTGATCTGCTTTCAGTGTAACCATATTTGTGCATGCTGGGGCCTGTTTTATGTCTGTGTTTCATTCTTTTTCGAGCCTGTGACCTTTCCTTCAGGATCCTAATAAGCAGTTTTCCCTGTCGGGTACCTCAGGGAGAGTAGATAATTGCTGCGCACAGCGGTGATTTGCTGGGAGCAGGCACACAATCCCAGCTGGAATGGGGATGTCTCCCACATTTCACACTCCTCCTGGCTGAGATGTGAGCAGCTGCCACTTTGCTGGGTGTGTTTGTGCCTTCTGGTGTGTTTGTTGCAGGCATTGCCTCTGAAATGTCTTGGAACCTGCAATGGAATCGCATCCGGTTTTTAAAGCAAAAATCAGATTCTTGGTCTGCTTTGGCAGCTTCCAGAAAGCACAAATCAGATCTCAGTGGTTGATGTCGAGGCTCCAAACCTGTTTGTGCCAGAGTTGACCCTTTTTTGCTGTGTTGTTGCAGAATATGGAGTGTGTGAAAACCTGAGGAAGCTGGAGATCACAGGAGTGTCCTGTCGAGACGTTTACGCCAAACGTAAGTGATGAAGCCAATCCAAATCGTGCTCAATACCAGTTTTGAGAGCACAGAAATGATGAATATTTATTAAACTTTGATGGCAGCAGTTGTTCAGACAGACTTGCAGGGGTTTCACTGGGAAATTGATGTGTTTGGAGTTTTATTTAATATCAAAAGTCAGGATTTCTGTGCCTCCCAGCCCTTTGGTGGGAGAAGAGGATGGAATTTAATTTTTAAATGAAGTTTGTTGAGGGGTTTTCATCCTGTTTTGCCATTTTCAGATCTTGCTAAGGAATTAACAGGTTTTTTTTTTCTAAGCCTTGGTCTCAGTGAAAGGAAATGGCTGTAGGAGAGTGGGAAAGGGATGAGCATTCCCTGAAGGAAGAGAGCCTGGCAGGAGGTGTCTGTGTGTTTTGGGAATGTCTGTGGGACCCTTTAGAACCCTGAAGTAGCAATGACCCATTGATCTTAAAGCTGAGTATAAGAATAGGTAGAAGGGCTTTAATGCCATTTTTAATAGACTTGCTGAGCATCCAAAGGAAAATTATTTCATCACCTGATATCTCCCTTTCCCTATTACACTAGGGATGGAGCTGCCTCATTTTCCTGGCTGGGAGGGCTGAGTGATGCTGAGCCAGCACACACATGTCCCCAGAGGAGTCCCATTAACCCTTGAGGCCTCCCTTAATTCCCATTTAATCCCATATTTTGGTGTGGTGACAGCCCCACAGCACATACCAGGTCAGATCTCAGCTCTTCATTGCCATTTTCAAGTGGGACAACATCTCTTCATGACCTGTAGTCCTTTTCACTGCATAACTTCCATGGTTCAGAGATACTAAAGTTGTATTTAGTGCTTTTTATGCACTTTTATGGGAGTGAAAATGGCCTTACTGGCTCAGGACAGTGGTGACTCTCCAGCCCATGGCTGAGGAGAGGATGAGCCTGTGGGATATTTTCCTAAACATTCCCACTGTTTCCAGCTTTCCAGAGTGTAATCAGGTTATTTATTTAATAACCTGCAACAAATCTGCTTCACACCTAGGTTTCCATGGGTAGTTTTCAAATCCATGGCATCCATTAGCAAAGGGTCACACTTGATGTGTGAGAGCACCCCTGATTTGGCCTTTCCTGCCCTTCTGTGTCAGATCTGTGTTTGTAGCCACCCAGCACTCCCAGTCAGGGATGGATCCCCAAACTGGGAATGCTGGGCAGCAGTTCTGGCTTTCAGGATGCCCCATCTCAGCTCCTCTGCTCACATTCTGCACTTTGGCCTGTGCCAGGAGCAGATGGCTGCTGGTGTCACCCCATTTTCTGTGCTGTCCCATAAACCTCTTTAATTGCAGAGGAGTTAATTTGGGATTACTACATGGACTTTTCCATTCCCTGGCTGTGTTTCTGTGAGAAATGCTGGGGAAAAATGGGAACTGAGCTTAAGTGCCTGAAAGCAGAACTAATCCAAGGCCCGTGGAGCGACTTGGTCTTCTTGAGCAGCAGTGCAGAGTTTGAGGAAGGGCTCTGATTCCACTTGGAGTCCACTGGATGCCATTTGTAAATAATGTCTGTGGGAATCTGGAGCATTTCTGTGTGAGAAATCCTGCTCACATGGCACTGAGGGTGACAGAAACACCTGGAAGCAAACTCGGGAGCGAGCTGTGCTTCCCTGCGTGGTCGATGCAGATCCATGGAAGTGTTTGCTGGTCCCAGTGGAGCAGAGTTTGCTGGCACTCACCCTGCTCTGTCTGTTCAGGTATAAACCCCCGGGTGAAGTCGGGGCGTTTTATGAAAATCCTGCCCGACTACGAGCACATGGAGTACAGAGATGTTTACACCTGCCGTACGTACCCGCTGCCGCTTGCACCCGGGCTGCTGCATGGACTGTGCCCTGCCTTGCAGCAAAGCACTGGCCTCACCCTGGCACAGCAGGGACGTGCCACCAGGGGTGGCTGGGGCGTGTCACAGAGCGCTGGGACCCTGCGGGGTGGCAGCGTGAGCAGGGTGGGGACTGAGGGCTGCTGGGTCTCCTTCAGGTGCTCCTTGGAGCACTCACTCTGTTTGGTGGGAATTGCTCCTTTCTTTGAGGGAAGAATTCAGATACCAGGTGTAGGAGTGTGCTCCCTAATGACAGAGTGGCAAAACTAACCTATGTCCCCCAAAAAAGGGAAGAAGCCCAGAAGTTTCTCTCCACAATTAAATGAAAAGCCACCTCATAGGACCTCAGGGACTTCACTAAGAACTTGAGGACATCTAATTGGATAGAAGCCAAAACGTCTCGCCTGGCCCATCAGGTAGAAAAGAACAAAAGAGCTAAAGGGCTTTTGTGAGGTGTTTTTACCAGGAGCAGACCTCTGCACTTGGCTCAAGTTTTTCTGTTTGTTATTTTGCCATTTATTAAATCTTTTTTGTTTCTAATAGCCAGGTATCTGAATTCAGATACCCAGGAAAGAATTCAAATACCCAGAGATACCTCCCAAAGGCAGCTCTGGACTGGCAAAGAGCTTTGTGGTGATTCAAGTGAGCCACAGTGCAGTCCACAGCTCTTCCCAGAGAAAAATGCTGAGTGTTCCCATAGTAATTCCCCCTCTGCACACTGAATCCTTTTGAGCACCATCTCTGTCTCTAGGAAACGTTCTGCTAATGTTTTAAACATTGTGATTTGCCTTCCTCACTTTGGATAACCTTTTTTCCCCTCCTCGTGTTGTGTTGAGGGAGGAATAGTTAAACCCTTGGAGTTTAGTGTTCAGCAGGAATTGAGGGGGAAGGACTGATTAGTTTACATCAATTAAGGAAGCCAGGACTATTTGGTGTTTGTTTAGAGGGGGTGTTGAGCTGTCTCTGATGCTCCTTTGGGTCTGCAGAGTTTGGCAGACTCCAGTTACTAACCCACTGCTTGGGAATGGAGTTTTTCACACACATTAATCAGTGAGTGGATGTGCAGAATTCCCTGTGCTGAGGGAAGCAACTGAGCAGGGGCCATGCAGGGGAGGTGGTGGCTTTAATGTGAGTCAGGACAGACCAGCAGCAGGGCTACAGCAGGAACTGGGACAAAGTTTGGGGTTTGGCAACTTGGGGTGTCTGTTCTGGGGCTGCAAAGGAAGGAGAAGCAAATCCAAGCTGCAGGATTGATTCCTTTGGAGACTGGATGTTTGCTCCAATCTTAAATGGCATTTAGTGCTGTTCCCTCAGTTGTTATTTCTTTAGCTCAGCCCCAAATTTCTTTTCCCTTGGGGAAATGCTTGGATGGTTGGACTTGCTGGTCCTAGAGGTCTTTTCTGTGGTTCTGAGTCCATGTGGTTTAAGATGCAGTGGCCCATTTCCCTTTTTTCCCCTCCTGTGCTGTCAGGATTTTCCATGGAACTCTTCCCTAGTTGCTGTTCCTGCAGGGTCAGCCAGGTGAGCTCAGATCACTTTCCCCAGGGGTTTAAGCTCACCTGGATTACTCTGAGCTCTTCCCACGAGCACATCAGGTGTCACCAGCCAGGGCACTGCTTTCATTGCTCTAGCTCCTTTTGCTTCCAGAGACCTTCCTGCATCCACTGGATGTGGTTTTGCTCCATTTGGCAGGATGTGGACTCAGAAATTTGGATAGGCAAGAGCACAGGCAGTGGAAGACCTTGGAGAAAGACCCAAGTGCTGTTTTCTTTCGAGGAGCAGGAAGGGAAACAAATGCTAAATCCATCCTGTCTCCTGCCAGGAGGAGCCAGAGCTGGAATTCATCAGGTTTCCCTGCAATTAATATTAGCTGCTGTTTTGCTGGAGCTCAGAGACAGCCCAGGCTTGAAAACTGAGCTGTGTTTTGAGACTTGTTTGGGCCTTTGGCCAAGCACCAGCATTTTCCCCAGTAAGTTCTGGAAGTGAATGACATTTTTTTTGGCCTCTAAAAAAGCTCAGCTCTGTTCCCTGAAATTGCTCCTAACAGGAGCTGGGCTAGGAGGAACATCCTCTTCCCCCTGGGATAGCTTAGTTTTCTGTCCTAAAAAATAATAATATATTAAAAAAGGCTGGGTTTTATCAGCTCTGTGGCAGACAGGGTAGAAGGCAGAGTGTGGTGGGTGGAGCAGCTCATGCCATTAATTAATGTGTAATTACTGAGCTGGGAATGGGGTTTGCCTGCTTGTCTTGGTGTTGTTTGTGCTGCACTTGGTTCCCTGGGTGAAACCAGGCCAGTGGAATTGTTTACTGCCCAGGAAAAAGGCTCCTCCAGGCCAGTTGGCAGCAGCTCTGGACATCCCTCCCTGCCATCCTAAACTCCTGTGGAAGTTCTTGCTTTTGGTGGAATAAAACCACTCCTGTAGTTCTTGCTGTCTGAAGTAAATAATGCAACAAAGCTGCTGGAGCAGCTGCACTGAAACACAATTCTGCTTTTAAATTAATGCAAACCCAGCCCTATTATTCAAGCCAGCCCTGGAGGTTAAAATGAGTTGCTGTGGCCTTCTGAGTTGGCCATGGACTTGCAAAATCTCAGTGAAATACCTTCCTGCCATCTTCATGGAAGCAGTGTGCATGCTGCTGTTCCTGCCCAGAATGCCAGAGTGTGTGATGCCTTCTTCTGAAGGGTGCTGGTTGTGTGAGGAAACCACATGGACAAAAGGGAATTGGATGGACAAGGGGAAAGGCTGTGTAAGGACTGGAGGTGGGTCCCATCTCTGAGCTTTCCTCACCACAAGAGGGTTAAGATCATTCTGTAAAAACCCTTTGTTCCTGCTTGCTGAAAATGTTCCTCTGTTTAGATGGGATTGGAGGGACAGCTGGCTCTGAGATGAGAAACAGGGAAGCCTCCACTGCTAGAGTAGATTTTGAGTGGGTTTTGGAAGCAGCTTTTGGGCACTGCTGAAGTGTAGCTGCTTCTGTAGAAGTTCTAAGGCCGTGACTGATGTGGCCACACCACCAAATTCCCAAGCTGGAGTGATCCATGTGCTTTGCCCATGCTCCCAGTGGCTGTTCCTAAGGATGCTTAACTCTGGAGCCAAGATTGTCTACACAAGGCAGTGAACTGCTTTCAAAATCCTCCAGTTTCCCTGTTCCTTGCTGCCCTTCCCTATTTTCTGTTGCTTTGCAGTGTGAAGCATTGAGTGCATTTTTGGTAACTGGAGGCAGCAGATGCTTTTATTTGTTTTTAGCTCTGGTTATATCGTGTGATTTGCATTCATGGGACTGTGCTGCAAAAGTTTTTTGGGAATTCCTGCTGAGGTAGGTGGTTCTGCCCTTCCACAGGGCCAGGAATAAAGAACATAAAAGTGTGTGAGCTTGGGGGAGGGCTCAGCTTGCACACAGTCACTTCTCCTGCGTAAATGCAGTTGTGGGTGCTGTGTGCAGCCTGGCAGCAGGGTTTTCATTCCCAAAATCCCAGTGGCTGGGCGGGATGTGCTCACTGTGTCTCCCTGTTCCCCAGTGCTGCACCGCTACCGGCACATCCTGGGATTGTGGCAGCCGGACATTGGGCCCTACGGGGGACTGCTGAACGTGGTGGTGAGTGAGGGGCTCATCCCGGGGCTTTTGGGGGCTCAGAGCTGCATTTTTACACTTCCCACACCTGGCAGCCATTCCCAGACCACTAAATAGTCTGAGCAGTCAGTCCTTGAGCGGGTGGTTTGGGCACAGAGGGTGCTCCGTGGTTCTTTCCTGGTTTCTCTTAGGTTGGACCTCAGGAGGAATTGCTTCACAGGAAAGGTGGTTAAACACAGCAGGGGCTGCTCACGGGGGAATCCCCATCCCTGGAGTGGGGGTGGCACTCATTGCTGTGGTGGGGACTGCTCACAGGCTGGCTCGATGGTCCTGGAGCTCTTTTCCAGCCTGAATGGTTCTGGGATTCTCATCATCACCACCTTTCTCCAGACAGTTTTTATATTTCAGCTCCACACCCAACAGCCCCAGGAGCAGATAGAAAACATGATCAGTATTTGAAGGAAAGGCTTGATTTAGAGTTTGGCACTGATACTCCAGTGGCTGGCACAGGAGTCTGTTCATTTACTTCATTTTCTTTGCCTGCAGCTGAACCTTTTGCAAAGAGCTTTGCAGTTGTGTGGTTGGCAAACCTTTGACTCGTGCATCAGGTGTAGAGTGACACTGGTGCAAGATCTGTGGAGCCTGGCAGCTCTGGTGCTGCTGGGAGAGCATTAATGAGCAACATTTGACTCTGAACTGAGAGCTGAGCCAGGAGCTTGCCTGGAGCCCTTGTTCTCTGCACCAGGGTTCACCAGCTGCCAGCCTGAAGCAGAACAAATCATGAGACCTTTGGGTTTTGCAAGATTCTGGTGCATGAACTGGTGTAAGAGGGCATCCAGCTGCATCAGTGCTTCCCCTGTGACCTTTATAGGTCAATATAAAGACTTACAAAGACTTTTTCTCAGATCTCTGTTTGGAGAATACCCTGCTTCTGGAATTGCAGGCCCTGAGGGAAAGGATTCTGTCAGGTGTGCAGGGAGGGGGCTGTGCCTCTCAGTAGAGGAGAGTTGCTTCCTGTGCTCTGAGTAATAAAAGCAAATAACTCCTCATGCAAAAAGCAGGGGTAGTCATGGGAAGCAGAAGATCTGCCAGCCGGAGCTCTCAAACCAATTAGAGCCTGACTTGCTGTGTGGTCTTTCCCTCTGGATCCTGCACTCCAGGCAAGTCATTTGCAGCAATAAAGGCCTGAGCTTTTCCCAGTGGTGCAGGAAGCCTTGTAAAGAAGCCCTCCTCACTCTGGGAGTGCATATGGTCTGGGTTAATGGCTGGAAAGCTGTTTGGGAGTGCAGCAAACTGTTCTGCAGCTGCTGGGCCACGAGAGGCCTCAGAGGTTGCTGCAGACTCCTAAGGAATCCTGCAAAGCTGATCCCCTGGGCTCTGTGTCCTGTCCCTCTGCAGGTGGATGGTTTGTTCATCATTGGCTGGATGTACCTGCCCCCTCATGACCCTCACGTGGATGATCCCATGAGATTCAAGCCCCTCTTCAGGATCCACCTCATGGAGAGGAAATGTGCCACGGTGGAGTGCATGTATGGCCACAAGGGACCTCATAATGGCCACATCCAGGTGGGCTCCTCTGCCTCCTCAGCATTGTCTGTGCACTTCGCCTCTGGAAATGGATTCATCAGAAAGCTGGGAGAATTTTATTTCAGAGATATGGCTTTCACCACCCTGCTGTGTGTGTGGGCACCAGCTTTACACTCATTATGTGTCTGACAAGTTGTGTGGGCTGTTCCCTGCTCTGAATTTGTTCCCTGGCAGTGGCACAGCCAGGCTCTTGTGCTGTTTTCTGGGCTGGGAGCAGCAGAATGTACACAGGCTGGGGAAGGGATGTGTAAGCTGGCCTTGGGCAGCTGCTGAGTGTGCCCAGGCAGACACAGACCTGTTCTGCAGCTCTCCCCATGCTGAGACCTTGGGAAGGTGATGCAGCATCCATTGCATGCTTTAAAAAGCTTCCTGACAGATTTTCTTTAAAGGAGGAAGCTGAAATAGGGAAGCAGCTTAAAACTTAATTTTCATTAGAGTGCACTGAGATTTTATTGCTTTTGTTTCTCTGTTCTGTAGCTGTTGCACTCGGTAGCAGTGAATGATTCCTCTGTTGTAGTAAATCCAACAATGTTTGTTTTGTAAAGCATGTACTGGGAGCAGTCTTAGCTCCATCACCCCAAGCATCTCTAAACAGGTGTGTAACCTGTTCAATTGTGTAACCTGTTCAATTCTCCTCCCTGCTGACTACAGATTGTAAAGAAGGACGAGTTCTCCACCAAGTGCAACCAGACAGATCACCACCGGATGTCAGGGGGCAGGCAGGAGGTGAGTGCTCTGCCTTTGTGTGTCCCCTTCCTGAGATCTGCTTGCAGCTGCTGCCCTTCTGATTCCTGTGTCATTGGGCATGCATGAACCCCCAGGCTGGGAGCTTTTGGCTCATTCCCTGTTTCAGGCAGTTTTGTGTCAAGGTGCTCTTTGAGCCCCAGCACCTTCCTCCTGTTTTGGTAGCAGACCTGTCCAGGGAGGGTCAGCAGCACTTCTTGGCCATCAGCAGCACTCCAGGCACTGATCTCAGTGGCATTGCTGTCTGTATAATTAAGATCTTTCAAACACAGTGAGCACCAGCTGCACTTGGATACCTGCTGGTCAGGGAGGCACCTTCCCACTGCTTGCCTTGCTCGAGGGATTAAAAGCTTCATTTGGTTGTTTCTCCTGTGTGTGTCAGCTCTACCCAGCAAGGCAGATTCCTGACTGAAATAGCTGTGTTTAAATGCAGGTATAAATGGCAGGATGAATACCTGTGCCAGGTACTGCTCTTTGCTTCCAGCTGGTTCCACGTGACAAATCTGATATTTCAGCTGCTTTCTGAGGAAGGCTGTAAAATGTCTGTCTGCTAATGGGAAACAGCTGGCTGCAAGGTTTAGTTAAGTGTTTTCTGGTGCTGGAGCAGATGAGAAATGCTTTAATACTTTCAAAGCACCACGTTATGTGTGCGTGGCTTTATGGAAATTGGAGGATCTGGCTTGGGAAGATAAAGGAGGCAGGTTTGGAATATCACTTGGCAGGCTGCTATCTCAGTGTAAGCTGTTATCACACCAACTCATGGCAGGGTATTAACTTGTCAGAGCTGCAGTTGGGGTACTTCAGGAGATGCTTTCAAAGCATCCTTTTGGATTTAGATGCATCAGTATTAAATCAGCAGGATTTAACCTCCTAAACCCTCAGTGCTTTTCAAAAGCTTTTTTCTTTTATGTTGAGCGTGTCAGGACAGGGCACAGGAGTCAGCTTGTGGGCACACAAATGAGTTACTGTGAGAGAAAGAGTAGATGAGCTACTTTGCAGTGACAGGCCATGCTCATGCTTTTATTCTGAGGAGGTTTATGCTTCTGCCTGGGATTTATTTGAAGGGGAGCTGTTTATTGTGTGATCACTGGCAGTTACCATAATCACTATTTGTTCAGCATATTTCCAAGCCAACACGTGCTTGTTCCCAAATCCAACCACGTTTCCCTGTCCTTGGCAGAGGATGTGCCCTGTCTGTGGCTCTGCCAGTGAAATGTGCTGTCACAGAGTCACACACTGAAGCCATCTTGGGGCACATCACTGAAGTGACCTCATCCTCCCCCCTTTTCTCCTCGTGCTGCAGGAATTCCGGACGTGGCTGAGGGAGGAGTGGGGTCGGACTCTGGAAGACATTTTCCACGAACACATGCAGGAGCTCATCCTGATGAAGTTCATCTACACCAGCCAATATGAGTAAGGGCTGCTGTAACTTCACACTCTGCAGCATTTTTCCTCAGGAGGGGGTTTTCCATGGGCTTTCACAGCCAGAGCAATGTTGTGTCTTTGCAGTGCTTCCCATCTTTCCAGCTGTATGAGGTGGAATGACAGCAGTAGGAATAGGATTCCAAATTCTACACAATAACTATGCACAGTAAGGTGCTTTTGAGTCATTTAACTCTGTTTACTTTGAAGACAGAGCAAATGCTTGTGATCCCAAGGAGTGTCTGGTTATTACCCATATTAGTCAGTGTGCTCTGTAGTGCAGGAATTAGAGAGTCCCTGAGAAAGTGGGGATTTTAACCAGCTCTCCAAGCTTCTATTACCAGCCACCTCACTGTAGCAGATGTTTAAATATGCTTCACTCTCAGGTTCTCTGGGAATCTCAAGGATTGAGGAAGTTTCCTTGCTGCAGGAATCTCCTGCTGTGCTCACGAGGATGGTGGGGAGAGCAGAGCAGGGAGGGAGGAAGCGCTTGCAGAGCTCTAAAGCAAATCCTGAGCTTGCTGCAAACACAGATCCTGCCTGTCTTGACAACATCCCCAAGCTGCTGGAGGAGCAGAATGCAAACACACTGCTGCTGGGGAGGGATTTTTCTCTTGACTTCTGTGATGTTTTTCTCTTGCCCAGCAACTGCCTGACGTACCGGCGCATCTACCTCCCCCCCAGCAGCCCCGAGGACCTCATCCAGCCAGGCCTCTTCAAAGGCACCTACGGCAGCCACGGGCTGGAGATTGTCATGCTGAGCTTCCATGGCAAGAAAGCCAAGGGCACCAAGATCACTGTGAGTGCATTTTCCTGTGCCTCAGGTGCTTGTGAAGGTGTTCTCAGTGGATGCACAGGAGAGGTTTCTGTCCGGGAGCTGGCAGCCCAAACCCTGTTCCCTGTGGGGATTGGTGGCACTGGGTGAATCTCAGCACACACAGAGTGACCAGGACCTGCTCTGCTAAGTTGCTCCTGGCTCCCCCTTCTTTTCCTCTCCCTTCCAGCTGCTTTCTGTGAGCAGCTGGTAGCAGGTCACTGGAGATCCCCTGTGTGTGTGTGAGGAGCAGGTACCAAATGTTGGCAGCTCTTCACTGCTTCACTGAAGTCAGGCAGGGGAGCTCCTTTCCTCCCTGCAGGGAGGGATTCTGCAGCTGCAGCTTTGACTTTCTTTCACCCTTGCAAGTACAGCTTTTGATTTAAAATTCTGGTTCTGGGAATGGAAAAGCAGAGATGACAAAAAAGGTCCAAGCAGTAGTTTTTTTATTGCCAGCTTGGTGATTGTAGAACAGGGTGAACTATTAACAAGTCCAGGTGATGGCTCTGTAGCACCTGGTGTCTGCAGCCGTGCTGTTCCTTCCTGTCCCTAGGGAGATCCCAACATCCCAGCTGGACAGCAGACTGTGGAGATAGACCTGGCACATCCTCTGCAGCTGCCTGACATCGAGAACCTGCGTGACTTCAGCGAGCTGTCCCGCATCGTGCTGGAGGTGCAGGAGCAGGTCCGGCGGGAGGAGCAGGAGCACAGGCAGGAGGAGGAGGAGCACTCCCAGCAGGCTGCCTCCCAGCCTGCCAGCCCCCTGGGAGGAGAAGGTGCTGAGGGGGAAGAGACTGCAGCTGGGGCAGAGGGGACGGCCCAGGACAAGGCCCCAGCTTCCCAGCCCTTCGTGCTGCCCATGGGAGTGATATCGAGGAATGAGGATTATCCCCGGACCTGCCGAGTCTGGTAACTGCTGCTTTTATGGCTGATTCATTTTTGAAAGGGAAGGGGAAATCTTTGAGGTGTGTCCTGTATTTATGTGCCCTTTACCTGCCTGTGGATCTCCCAGCCTCTTGGGCTCAGATTTCACAGAATCCCAGAATGGTTTGGGTTGAAAGGGACCTAAAATCCCATCTTGTTCTGTCCCTGCAAGGGACAGGGACACCTTCCACTAGACCAGATTGCTCCAAGCCCTGTCTGACCTGGCCTTGAACATTTGCAGGGATGTGGAATGCACAGTCTCTGGTTCCTGCCTCTGCTGCCCAATTTCCCAGGCTTTGGTTTGTTCCCTCTCTCACCATGCTGTCATCTGCCATCCCACTTCCTTGCTAGATTTACTTCAGAAGCTGGCACCTCTCCTGAATTCCACACACCCCCCCTTTTTTTTTTGGTGTGTTTTATGTCCCAGAGCTGCTCAGCTCATATATTTAGAACTGTTCAAGCTGCTTCCCATTCCCATGTGTGTCATTCATGTTCCTGGCTGTGGGAACACAGTGCTCTCTCCCACTTCTCCCTGGCCTCTGGTGCCTTGGGGCAGCCCTGGCAGGTGCTGAGCACCCCGAGCAGGAGGTGCAGGCATGCAGAGAGCTGTGCTGAATGGGAGCTGGAGTTGGTGGAGCAGCACACTAAATGAAGTGTGGAAAAAGTGCCCAAAAGCTGAGGCTTAGACGGGTGACCTTCAGCCAAACATCTGTGCTTATGGAAAAACCTACCCAGAGCTGGTTAATCCCAGAAGGCTTCTGCTGTCACAGCTCAGTTGTGTTTGGATAAAACCCTGCTCCACCTGCTGCTTGCTCAGAGCTTTGACTGACCTTTATTCCTCCTCAGGTCCTGGTGGGTTTCTCTGCTCTTTAGATTTTTCTCTCCCTTCCCTTAGTTTTTGCCTCTCTGGTCACGCTCTCAACGTGCCTTTGCTTTCCTGGAGGATTGAGCCTGTGCTCATCCTTGAGTTGCACGAGTTAATCTCACATGGGTTTGGGGGCTGCACTGCTGAAAAACCCAGCTTTGGTGTGCAGGTGCAAATTAGGATAACCCAAAGCAGGAACCTGCAAACAGCAACAGGGAGTTCCTTGTCTTAATAGAAAAACCGAGTGTAAATCTTGCTGTTCTGTCAGAGTGGCTTCACCAGAGCTTTGTGCTGATTTTTAACTAAACACTGGGTGATCCTGGCTCTTCTCACATCTGTTTTGTCCTCATCCCCTGGCAGTTTTTACGGGACAGGGCTCATTGCTGGCCACGGCTTCACCAGCCCCGAGAGGACGCCGGGGGTGTTCGTCCTGTTCGACGACGACCGCTTCGGCTTCATCTGGCTGGAGCTGAAATCCTTCAGCCTCTACAGCCGCATCAAGGTCTCCTTCCAGAACGCCCAAGCGCCTTCCCGGGAGGCCTTTGATGAGATGCTCAAGAACATTCAGTCCCTGGCTACTTGAGGAGTGTTTGTGGTGAAGGACAGGGCTCGGGGTGGCCGAGGCTGCTGCGCTCCCCAGCCGGGCCGGGGCGGGGAGTCCTCGCTCTCGGTTCCTCTGGATAGAAGCATGCACTTTGAATAAAGCCTTTCTACCCCAAATGTACACACATCCCACCTGAGACATCCCTGACTGCCCTTTCCTCTGTGCCACGCCACGCTGCTTCCCAGCAGTCCTTGTTTCCCAGTCTGTGCTTTGGAGAGCTGAAGGATCCTGCAGAGGAGGGAGCAGACCTTCCTTTGTGCAAAACAAGAATGTCTTGGGACAAAACCAACTTCTGGTCAGAGCTGGACAGAGGAACAGGCAGTGACAAAGCACATCCTCCTCTCCAGAAACTTTTCTGTGGGTGCAGCATTGCCAGGAGAGGCTGGTGTGATCCTGCATCCTTGCTAATTGCAGTGTGTTGTTTCCTCTGGAGAATTCCCTCAGCCAGGGCAGGATCCCCACTGCAGATGAGTGTGTGCAGCATTGGCCTGGCTTCTGGAGCTTGATGGATGTGCTGTCCCTGGAGCTCAGGTCTGGGTGTCTCCCTGAAACCAGAGATGTTTTTTTTCTCCTTGCAGGAGCTGGGTGTGGGACTGGAAATGGGTGTAAACTGCAGAAGCTCTGATGTCTTCAGACTGGTTTGTACCTGAAAGGTTTTCTCAGTTCTTGTAAAGTAGGTCTAAAAGGCACAGGAAGGAGCCAAAAGAAGCCCAGCTGTGAGATGAGCCCAGTAGGCTCCCGCTGGGCAGCACAAGGTGCCACTGGTCCTGTGTGACCCCAGGGCTGCCATTCCTGTGCAGGTTGCCCTTCAGAGTCCAGAGTGACAAGGGGTTGTCCTTGTGGCTTGTTGTGGCTGCTGGAGTGGTGGCTGCTGCTGCCCCACTCACAGAGCCCTTCTTTCCCTTCCTTGTTGCGCTTGTTTGATCCCAGATGCTTTTGTGGCAGATCTGAGCTCCAGATTTGGGAATCTGGGAATTGTGTGCTGCAGGCAAGGGAGCAGATTCCCTTTGACTGTGCTGTGCAGGAGAATCCTGGCCAGTGCTCATTTCCAGGCTGTGGGTTGTGCTGGAAACCATCAGCACTAACACAGCCCTTTGTTGCAGCTGCCCTCTGGCTGTGATGACAAACTCCAGGTCCCTTCTCTTCTCCCCAGATCGGTGTCTAACAAACCCCTGCTGTTAGATCTCTGCAGTTTAATGTGTCTGGACCTGTGCTGGGAGGTTTCAGGCCCCTTCTGTGGAGAAGTTTCAGTCCCTGCCTGGATCTGAGCTCCAGATTTGGGAATTTGGGAATTGTGTGCTGCAGGCAAGGGAGCAGATTCCCTTTGACTGTGCTGTGCAGGAGAATCCTGGCCAGTGCTCATTTCCAGGCTGTGGGTTGTGCTGGAAACCATCAGCACTAACACAGCCCTTTGTTGCAGCTGCCCTCTGGCTGTGATGACAAACTCCAGGTCCCTTCTCTTCTCCCCAGATCGGTGTCTAACAAACCCCTGCTGTTAGATCTCTGCAGTTTAATGTGTCTGGACCTGTGCTGGGAGGTTTCAGGCCCCTTCTGTGGAGAAGTTTCAGTCCCTGCCTGGTTCCAGTGCCTGTGAGCAGCTTTTGTTCTCACTCTCACAAGGGCTTTTTGCCATTTCTGGCTCTCATGTGTTCCCTCAGCTGTGTGAGGAGCCAGGCTCCAGCAGAGACAACAGGCAGCAGCTCATGTCACTCACAGGATTAATTCCTGTCTCTCTGGGTAGAGTTCTCCAGACCTCTGGGAATTTCAAGGTGATTTAGGGCACTTTTTGCTTTGTTTCCTGCAGCTTTGTGAGAAGAGGCAAGCCTGCCTCAGCGTTGGGGGTGAGGAGCAGTGCCAGGCCTGCAGAATAAGCTGGGAAAGGCTGGGTGGTTGTGAGAGGTTTTCCTGCAGAGGGAAGAACCAGCTGGGGTCACACAGGGCTGGCAGGGAGGGAGAGGCTGCTCTCTGTGCCCTGAGTGGGCAGAGAGGGGACCTGAGCTGAAATTGGGCATCTCAGCCTTGTGCTGCAGCTCTGAGCTCTGTGCTGAGCTCCTGCCTGATCTGCAGCCAGAGTTCCCAGTTTGGTGCAGGTTTCTGGGGCAGCTGGAGATGTTCAGTGCTGGGTTAATGGTTGGACTCGATCTCAGAGATCTTTTCCAGCCTAAATGATTCTAGGATTAGGACTTGATTTGGTATCTCAGTGGCCTGTTTATCTTGGAATTTGCTGTTAGGCTGCTGCAGTTCTGTGTTCTACCAGCCCAAAGGGATGGGAGATGTGCCCTTGGGCAGCTGTTCCCATTGCTTGTCCCTAAAACCAGCTCTTCTTCAGCTGGATCTGTAGCTCTGATTGCAGGTTCCTCCCCACCTCAATATCCCCACCAAAAAAAAAATCCTTAACTTTTACACAACTGACTTGATAAATTTTGCTTTTAGCTCTTAAATTACAATTAATTTTTTTTAATGGAGACTAAAATCCAGATTGCATTGATGGCCCTGCAAGTACCTGAGGCTTAGGTCCCTCTCCCAAGTACTGACCTGTCTGTGGCCTCTGTCCTTTGTCACCTGGGCAAGGTGTCACCTGTTGTTGGCACAGGTTGTGCATCTGCCCTTCTCCAGACTCCCTGACCCTTCTGAACCTTTCCAGTGGCAGTGCCAAGGCTCTCCTGATGGCCAAACCTGCTTGGCTGGCTGGAGAGAAGGGCTTTGGTGGAGGCTGATGCCCTGTGGGAATTTTCCCAGCTCTGCCTTGCCCCTGTAGTGGCATCTTTTTATTTATAACTCACCTGGCTGGCCTCAAAATGTCAGGATAATTCCTGATTAAAGGGAAAACTGCTGGTACCCCCTGGCTTCATTCTGTCTGGAGCAAAGGAAATAGCAAATTTTGTATTAATATTCCTCCTCTGATGCCTTTTCTCACCTGCTGCTCCGAGCCTGGCAGGCTTTTGTGACATTTCAGAAGAAAATCCCCTCTGCTTTGGCTGAGGGTGAGGAAAGCTGAGGAAAGCATCCAGTGCAGCTGGATTTGGGAATGCTGGGGATGCTCCTGTGCCTGTTCCTTTGTGCGTGGCTCTGCTGATGCTTCCAGAGCCAGGCAGGATAACATGGAGTTAAAACTCCAGCTCTGGAACCTTTGGGAAAGGGGAGACAGATTTAGGAGCAGGCAGTTTGGGTCTGATCCCCCATGGTGAGGGGGATGCTCCTGCTTTCCCAGGGCTTTGCTGTGCTTGGTACAGGCTGTGCCACCCCTGCCCAGCTCTGCATTCCCCTCTGCTTTCCCAAATCCCAGTTCTGCAGCCCTTGGGATCTTTGTGAGAGCTGTTGACAGGGATGATGTGTGCTGGGGCCCTGCAGATGGTGATAAATCCCTGCTGCCGACGTCTCCTCGTCCTTGTGGCTCTGCAGGAAATCTTGGGGACAATTGGCTGCATTTCTTCATCCCAGATGGGTGGAAAGTGCTGGCGAGGATGGAAAACAACTTGTCAGGGGTAGGAATACTCTTGGCAGGAGCTTTTTGGATTAAACAAAGCCTTTGCAGGGAGGCTGCAGAGCCCCAGTGGCCACTGCAAGACCTGGGGCTGGATTCTGGCTCGGGGACAGCTTGGGGACAAGTGTCTGCTTCATGTGCTGGGGATGGGTGCTGCTCCTCCATCCTGCTCCCTGTGTTGTCAGAACACATGGATTTGGCCAGCTGGACAGCAGGAACATCAAAGCTGCACTTTGTTTGCCTTGGTGGGCCTGGTTTGAGAGCTGTGAATGTGCTGTGCTCAGGCGTGGTGCCTGTGGGGTTTGTCAGGCTGGATTTTACTGAGGAGGAGGAAAAAGGAAGGAATTGTTTGTGAATTTGGGTGTCAGCTCCGTGCTGGAGTGAACAGCAGTGCTGCTGCAGCTGCCCTGGAATGGGACAGCAGCAGTGGAGGGCAGTTCCTTAGGAAATGTGTGCTGGGGAAAAAGGGAATTCTGTGCAAACATGCCTGGAGGTGTCAGCTCCCAGGAAAAGCCAAACCACAGCTGGCTCCGTGTTCACTTTTCAACAAGGAGATGACTTTTTCTTGCTTTTTATTAATTTAAACCTAGTGGAACTCGATGGGAGTGTTGGGTGTTGTGTGGAAATGGGTTGTTTAGGCTCAACTTGCTAGTTTAGGGAATGGTAATGTGTTAGCTCTGTCTTGTGGCTGGCTGCTCACGTGGCCACTAATCCTGTGTTCTGTTCAGCCTCCAAAGGCTCCTGCTGCCCCTCCCAGGGGGACAGTGAATTATTTGGGATGTGGAGTGGAAGAGAGAGGCACCAAACTGTGAGTGCCACCGACCTTTGGGTGCTTTGTGTGCTGAACTAAAATGTGTGGTTCTGGTTTTTGTTTGGATTGCAGTCCTTGGAACTTTTGAGGCAAAGAGCACTTGGCTCGACTGTGTTCATTAGCTTAATTAAAGCAATCTGCACTTTTGTTTTGTCATTGATTACTCCCCCTTCCCCCTTCCCATGTGTATTTTGCACTCACCACTTTAACATGACACTGATGGATTAATCTGGGCATTTCCTGTAGGTTTTGAGTGTGGATAAGTCTCTATAAAAAGTATTAAAAATGAAGGTGAAATATAAATCCCTGCTTTGTAGAGAGGGCAGTGGGGGGAAACCATTGGGCATCACCACCACAAATCCCCATGTGGAACATGATAAATTGCATTTTAACCACCTCACCTGTCCAAGGGCTGGGGTTTTGCCTGTTCTTTTCTTGGTGGCTTTGAGAGGAATGGGATGTATAAAATCAAGACCTGGCCTACTTCACTGCAGGTTTTGGAAAGCTGAGCAAGCCCTGTGTGTTACTTTTACACCTGATCATTGTAACCCAAGGAGCCTTTTCCAATTTCAAATAATAAAAAGCAAAGTTTTGTGAACTTAGTTCTGTTTGCTTCCTTTTTTCCCCCACTTTGTCCCAAAGGAAGATGTTGGGCCAGTTCCACCCTCCTGACGTGCAGCTGCCTCTCTTCCAGCGTGGGATAGGAAATCATTCTCCCTTGTTTGGGTACTGGGTGAGCAGTTCTGATTTCCTGAAGATGTCAGACACATCCGACACCTCCTGCTGTGAAATCCCAGTTCCTGCCTTATCCCTGTTCTCTGTCCT